TAGGTTGGAGGCCATTGCTATAAGGGTGGAGGCCATCGCTAGTAGGTTGGAGGTCATCGCTATTAGGGTGGAGGCCATGGCTATTAGGTTGGAGGCCATCGCTATTAGGTTGGGGGCTATCGCTGGCAGGTTGGAGGCCATCGCCTGTTGACAGCTTCACATGGATGTCTGTGGCCCATTTTCATACAAAAAGCTCCAGGCAAAACGCTCTAAAACGGCACAGTAAACCTCTGAGGTCGTGCGCACCCACATGGCTGGGGTCAAATAATCATTGAGTATGCTGAACATGAAGTGAACGATCTGCTCTGGAGTATGTTCTCCTGTTGAAGGGAGACTTGCTCCACCACCGGAGACAAAGGAAGAGAACAACGTTCATTGATGTTGTTGTGGGTGGTGTTCCTTCCCAGTCTTGGTGGAGGTCCATCAGCCATCCACGACCATCGCCTTGAAGTTCACGACCAAGATCACGTTTTTCACGTCAATGCCTTGCGGAACTGGACTCGGACACTACTAGGAGCAAGGACGCTACTAGGGGCCCCTTTTCTTTTCTTTGCTTTTGAGGGCGGGTCTGAGCCTTAACTATTTGCTTGCTATCTGGGATCGTTTCTTTGCCTCTTGGGCCTTGTGCACTCTGAAACCACTCACTGTATCCTTCTTTTTGAGTTCTGTTTGCATCTTTGTGTTCTTGCACCACCTGCAATGAAACATCTGCCAATCTTGCAGGGGGCCATCAATCACATGCGGCCGACATTGAAATGACCTCCACCAATCTGGCCGTACCACACCCTCCTCCCTGGACATGTTTGAGATGGTCCGCTCAATAAGTTGATTTCCAGGGTGTTTGTCAAGCTAGACATCCAAAACAATGGGATTGGTTGAGCTCCTGCAGTTTGCAAGCATTCTGTTCTTCGCGATATTTGGGGTATTTACCTTTCTCAAACTCTTGTTAATTAGCAGGAGGGGAGCTTCTAGGTTGGAGGCCATCGCTATTAGGGTGGAGGCCATTCCTATCAGATTCCTTTTGCTACTACTAGCAAGAAGCTACTAGTTAAGTTTCCCTAAATCTAGGACCCAAATCATTAGTGCCAGCGCTTCTTCAAGGAAGTTAGGGCCGCGGGGGGAGCTTGCTTGAAGAAGTGCGAGCTATCCTGCGTCCTGTCGGTAGTAGCTTACTTGCAGCTAGTAGCTACCTAGCTATCTACATGAAGCTACTAGGGGCTCCTGGCCCTACTACCAGGAGGACGCTACTAGGGGCTCCTGGCCGTACTACTACTCAACAAGAACGGCTCAAGGGCATCGCTAGCTCCCTAGCTAACCTACCTCTTCGGCTTACCCCCCGGGCTAAACGGTCGATTTCTGCCTCGGGCGGCCACAGAGGTGGAGATCAAGATGTTGGAAATTCCGTCCTTGAATACACCAACAGGATACATGTTACTCAAAACAGCAAAGAAACACATCTTCAAAAGACAAAAGGTTTTCTTGCTTTTCCTTTTCTTTTTTTGCGAGTTTTGCTTGTTGGAAAATTGGTCCTTGAAGTCTTGCAACGTAAAGTCTCGGTCCTGTTGGTCCTGCAAAGCTGTGTGCACATGCGGGGGGTCCGTGACCTCGGTGACCTCTTGGTGGTTTCCGTGTCAAGGTTTCTACGTTCGCTTCTTGTTACTACTAGTAACAAGTGCCACGCTAGTAGTAACAAGTGCCTTACTAGTAGTAACAAAGAAGCTATTAGAATCAAAAATTAACAGTAAATTAAATGGCTTTCTTGTTACTACTAGTGAGGCACTTGTTACTACTAGCGTGGCACTTGTTCCTAGTAGCTTCTTGTTACTACTAGTGAGGCAC